CCAGCTTTTGCACAACCATCTAAGAACAGGCAATGCCAATTCAGGTTTTCTTGCATTTGTTTTGGTTTGTTATTTTTACTGTAATCATCTCCTTGTTTTATGCTGCAAGGAGCTGATGCACTAATTCTAACTTGTTTGTTAAAAATAACTCGGAGTTCCAGATCTGTATTTTTAGGCTTATCACCTATTTGCACTTCAAAAACAAGGACAATGCACAGACCTATTTTACTGTTAGAGAGTCGTCATCTTCTGAGAAATAGCCTTGATATCCTACTTCGATTAACAACGTGGTTTTTTATGAATACGAGATTGTTTCTTTGCTCCATCTCAGACCCTCTGTTTTCTTTTGTTTGAGGGAGAATCAGTCTGAAATCAGATTTTTTGTCTTAGGATGACTTAAAAATTTTCAGCTTTGTCCTTCTTAAATTATTTATATGGGTTCCTTACAGTACTGTTCTGTCTCTATTTAAAACATGCACTTAAGTACTTGAAACTAAGTACAGTTGCACACGATTCTATTCATAGGCCTTTCTTTCAAGCCAAAATTGGAAAGAAATTTCTCTGATGACACAATAAAGCAAAGCAGAAGCAGCAGGAAATTCAGAAAAGTAAAGGAGAGCGGAGCAGTTGAACCCTGGCAACTCTGTTGCTGTCCTAAGCCAAAACTTTACTGTTTTATACCCAGGTTAAACACAGAGACTTTGCCTTTCGAGGATCATCCATAGATCTTCAGGCCCAAGAAATCAGTGTGAACTGTAAATTAGAAGCATCTATCCCTATAAACTCAGGAAATATCATGGAAATTATTGTAGATTAAGAAATTTCAACAAGTTTAGGTCAAAATTATTTAAAATTATGAGGAATTAATGCCATATTAAGAAACTGTAGAAAAGTCACCATGATTAAACACCTGAAAGCATGTATCTGTAGCCCTGTGTGATGATTAAGGGAAGATGTGACAAGAGGAGAAGACTAATCTGAAAAAACACCTAATGACATTATCTTTATGAGAAATCAAGATCCTGTCCTTTAGTCAGTCTGGACCAGTCTAAACTTGAAAAGCAAAGCTGAGCAGCAGTCCCCAAGCTCAGAGAAAAGTTAAGCTCCGATAATCTGTTACAGAAGCAAGAGAAATTAAGTTACATTGCACTGTGACAAGATAATCCCTTTCAGTAATTTTTCACAATAACTTCTTCTGAAGTCAGTAGATACTGGTTTTATTCTGAGCGCTTCTGGGACACACTTTTTTAACATCTCGTTTTGAGCTGTATCTTCTCTATTATGTCAGTTATAATTGATAACGGATGTTATGAAGAATCACATGAGGAACGATGACTCCTGCAGTCAGATGACTTGAACTCTTTCCTCTTGGCTCAATAGCTAGTTCTTTATATAGGAATATGCTGTCAGTAATAATGGCGATTATATTTCCTCTTGTTTTCATCAAAATCTTAGCCTTTCATAAATAATTCATGCTTATGGCTAGTTAGCTAATACCTAGATTTGGTGAAATGGAGACTAAGGCATGTAGAAATGACGTAATTGAGGTAAGACAGCACGGCATTGGCAGGAGTCAGGAATAGAATTCTAACCTACTGCCTAAGTGACTTCCAGTGACAGAAATAGATATACACCCTTTAGGCAAAATAGAAATGCATGAAAATATTTGGAATTTGACAGCCTGGAAGTATTGCATGTGTCCTGAAATGTGTCATTCCAGTCTGTCAGATAAAAATATCTGTGCCAATGAAAGGGCTCTTCACAGAAGGTGGCTTACGCATAATTGTGTTGAATAGAATCCTGTAAATATTTTTAATATTATTGTTAACTTTTACTGAACATTAATTACCTCAGTATTTTTTAGGTGTCTTTGGGGCTTTTTATGTATGACTAACATTAAACCACAAGCTCTTCACAAAAATTTAAAAATATGACACACAAGAAATATGTCCATATTATGAAACAGATTTGCAGTAATAAATTCCATGTGTGTTAAAGTTACAATTGTTTCTACTGTAGCTTGCATGATGTTTCTGTGTTATAAGACAAAATACCTAAAAGTGTCAATCTTTTTAATGTAAAAGAAATTATCAGCACTGTACCAGATTCTGCCCAAACAGGGTATTTAGGTGATGTATTTCACCATAGATGCTAGAGTAGAAGCAAGAGTTTGAGTGATGGAAGAGGCTACTCTCTGAGCAGCTGGAGCTGAAGAACTTGATAACATGAGTTGGAAAGAAATATACTCGGTAAATCCAAGGAAAACATAGAGCAGTGTAGTTCAACAGACAAGACGTGGCGCTCAGAAGGCCTTGACCCAAAACTCCTACTCAGAAGAGTGACGGGGATGCTGACAGACAGAATAACACGTGGGTGTCCACGGTTCTGCCTAGCTGTGTATTTTTTGTGTGCTGTCTGAAGTAGACCATTCTTTTTTAGAATCCTCTTTTTTTTTTCCCCCCTCAAATTCTCCAGCTGTTTGTGTCGAGCATCCAGCAGTTTTGCAGAGATGAATGTACCCATGCGAGCGAAGTGTAAGGGAAGAATGTGTTTATCTTCTTGCCACCAGTGTGGGGCGGCTTGCAGAGGAAACTGCGGTTTCCAGAGTAAGAGCTGATCACATAAAAGGCTGAAAAGGAAGTGCAATACCCTGTTCAGACCAACACAGGCTAAAATTGGAGTGGATACAGCGAGCTTTTCTGTGATTGTACAGCAGCTGTTTAAGAGTGTGACAATAGCCTGCAAGGACAGTATTGACCAAAATCAGGTTTCTTGAACGTGAGGTGATTTGATGACAGCGTTCCACAGATCAGACCTCTAGTTCAGCTGGCAGGATTAGCCGAGGAGATCACATCAGACTATGCCCCAGGCTGCAGCGGAGATGCTCCTTGGAATGTGTGGGGTGATGCAGTAGAGCGATGCAGCACCCTTGGGAGTCCATTACCTTCCCGATAAAGTGTTGTGTCCCTCTGACCACATAAAAAAAAAGGGACTTGGCAAGGTGTAACACCGTGTATACGTTACAGTATTTCCTTGATCAGATCAGTATTACAGAGGAATGGTACATGGATGGAAAAAAAATAGTCTCCTTTAGGATTAAATGATCTCTAAGGTCCCTTCCAGCCTAGACCATTCTATGATTCTATGAATTTTCAGTCCAGCCACTCAAGCTGTTGCACTGATGAAGCAGTGTGCGGCTTTGGACCGTTGCATATTGGTTAAACATGTTTCCCTGACGTAAGCCTGCCCAAAGCTGAGCTTGTGCTTTACCTCCCTCATTAAGAAACTGAATTTAGTGGGTGTTGAGACTAAAATTCATTTTGTTGACTCTTCTCTTTCTGGTAGTGGCTCCTAAAGGGCTGCCTTGGGAGCAGGGCAGCAGCGGAGCTGGCAGAAGTAACACCGTTTGCTGTGTTCTCCCAGCCTCCAGGGACTGATGATGTGTAGTAGTCCTCCCTTCTGTTTTTGTCTTTCCTGCATCTAATCACTTTTAAGTCAGTTAGTATAAAAATTCAGGCCTTCGCAGCATCCTGTAGAAATGAGTTGAACAGCAGAACAAGGCTAGTTGGAAAATCTCTCTCTTTTTGCTTGTGCTGAATGCACGTTCTGATTGTGTTCAGCGCTCTCCAATGCTTGTGTGAGGAGGTGAGCAGCTGGTCTCTCATCTCCATGGTATTTTTGATTTTATAGATTCTACCATATCCCTCCTCAATCACATGCTGTCCTCTGACTAAGGAAATGAGGTCTGAGGCACAAGCCATTAAGTGTGTTTGATCATTTCTTTGTCACATTTATTTACTTGTTTTCTTCAGTTTTTCTTTTTTTTTGTTTTTTGTATTCATTTTTCTTTTTGAGAGGGGAGACCAGAACACCAGCACAGAATCCCACACAAGGATGAACAACCCTTTGACAGTAACATATAACTATCCTGTGGTCTCTTAACCTTTTGCTAATAATTCTAATTATTCAATTATTGCTTTTTCTGACACTACTAAACTCTTAAGGTGATGGGCATTTTGTGGACCTGTCTGTTGTAACAGTTAGATCTTTTTCCTGGTGGCCAGTAGGTAATTGACAGTCAGTCACTGTATTTGAACAGTCAGGATTGTTTTGCCTTTGTGTTTATTCTTGCAGGTTCTAGTATGTTTGCCCTCACAGTGTTTGCCGTAGAAATAATTCAACTTGAAACTTTGAAACCTTTTGCCTATCAAGGAGAGGGAAGCGGATCACTTGTTTTTGAAATTGTAAACTGAATGAAACTGAATTATTTAAATAAACTTTATAAATATTTATAGAGATACACTTGATTTTTGGTTTTACATACGCAATGTGCTGGAAAGTTAGACGAAGAAATTAGCTTTAGAAACAGGACTTAATCTTGCTCTTTTAATAATGAGCATAAATAGGTGCCGCTTATCGAACTAGAGCGATAATGTTCACCCTCTTCCTCTTGGAAGAAATAACTATGTAGTAACTCGGGTTTGAATGTGTTTTTATAATCAGCCTGAGGAAGAGGGGCGGGGGTGTCACCCGCCCCTCACGAGCTGTGAGGAAACCCAAAAGCTGCACGTTGTCTCTGTGAATTGGGCAAGTGCAGTGGCAGCTCCCAACGACGAAGGGGGGTGCAGGAGCCCTCCCAGCTGTCAAACTCGTGCAGAGGTGGCAATAACGCTGCTGGAAATGATGCGATTTTGGCACACAGAAGGTAAAACTGGTTTTGAAAGAATTGCTCTGTTGTTTCTCAAGAACGCAGTGCACTGTGTGGCAGAGGCAAAGAAATTAGATTGCCTGAATTTTTCAACAGAGGTCAAGGAAATTTTCATTATGTGTGACTGTGAATAACATGCACGCAGCATCGTCTTCTGGGTTCTCGTGTGCGTGAGCTTTGCTTTTTCTACTGGGTGCAGTGTTTAAATGTGTTTCCATCAATAGTGAACATGGTTGGAAGTGATTCCCAGAGATTCCATTCATTTATCTGGATCATTGCTTCTCTTTTTTAGGGTGTTCTTGAGAGCCATCAACAAATTTGCAGAGACAATGAACCAGAAATTTCTGGAGAATATGAATTTTGAAGTTCAGGTAAGCATTTCGACTTTTAACCTGAGCCATGGTCTCATGTGTGGGTAGGTCCAGCGTGGTGCTTTGTACCACACTGACACTCGTTTGAGTGTGGCAGCATTAGGCCACCTTCGATAGGACATGAAAATCATAATTTCATTATTTATTATAAAGCACCCAACAGAGTGGTTTCTACCCTGATTCTCTCAGAGCTGGCAAGCAGGAAATGCCTTTTTTTTCCCCCCCTTTAGCAGCCAAGTGTATTTAGAAAGGCAATCTTTGATGTAATGCACGTAGCCTTTACAGTGTCACTCCTGTGTATGTAGGGCAGAAAGAGCTTAACTTTGATTCCTGGAGTATTTAGCACTTAGAATTTATTTTTATTTTTAACTTGTAGTCTTCTCTGATAAGTCTATCTGTATTTACTTATGTGTTTTCCTCCCCTCCATCCCCCCTTTTTTTCCCTCTTTTTTCTATTTTTCTTTTTTTTCTTTTTCCTTTTTTTTTTCTTTTTTTTCTTCTTTTCTAGCAGTTATTTCTGAAATAATTTTGAATTAGGGTCGAGGTTTTTTGTTTTTGTTTAGTTTGCTCGACATCATTCTTTCAATTAAATTATTTGATAATGCATTTTACCCTATGTTTAGCTTACTTCAGATAAAAATGAAAGTGTTGGTAGTTTTCACATTGATTAAATTGTTATTAAAATGTAAATACACTTTTAGAATCAGGATTTGTCACTAAATGCTGCCTGATTATAGTGTGTAGATAGACACTAAAAATTATTCTTTTTCACTCTTTATATTAGCTTCCATTAAGAGTAAATGCTTCCTGATGCCAAAATCGAATCCATTCATTAGGTAGTAACTTATTGACCCTAACCATGAAGTTCAGAGAAAGTTCAGGGCTCTGCTTTCTTGTTTTCTTGGGGTTTGTATTCTACAGTTATTCTTGCAACTTGCAATCTGTTCTAAGTGATGCTGCTTTACTGCACCTGAATATTTAGGCTTGCTATGCTGAATTTTTTGTTTGTGCTAAATTTTGATTTCCCACTGTTATCTGTACATATTCAAATAGCTGAAGATTTTAATGGTTTAAAGGTTCTTTTCCTGTTTTCCATATTTACGTTTTTTGAAAAAATGTCTAAATCAGTGTCTTGCAACTATTTGGGCTGTGAAAGCTTGAATATGGAAAAGCAGTTAAAATTCAAAATGTTATTAATTGAACCGAGAAATTTGAGAGGTCCTTTAATGGATTTTCTCCGTTTTTTGAGGAACAACTTTATCAAAATAATTTCTAATAAAAATTCTGGCTTTTATGAACTTTCCTAAAGATACTGTATTGTCTTTGAAGTGACAAGATTTTCTTAAAACGCTCTGAAGGATTGAGACATAATGGACAGGAACAAAGAGTGGAAAGAGTAAGGCATGGAAGGAGGAATAACTTCAGCTGATTTTCCCAGTAAAGAGCCCCACTAGGTTCCCTTATGAGTGTCATCAGCGGGCCACATAGCGATTGTGGCAAAGCCAGGGTGTGCTTCGAAAGCAAGAATTGAGGCAATCGCGTACCTAGGAGTGCAGCGTAACTCGAACTCTTTCAATTGAGCTCTTCTTTTCAAAGTCCAGCTAAAAAATGGCATCTCGAAATGTGCTTCTGCTGTTGCTGAACCTGATGGAGATTTCAGTGAGCTTGTTCAATGTGTTTTACAAATATTGCCTGGCTGTTTCACTTGATATGAATAAGTTACAGGGGTTGTACATCTATATTTAATCTCTTCTTGAAAGGTGCTGTATGCCTGTGTTACATAAGTGACTACTCCAGATCTAAAAACTTGAAGAAATTATTGCATATAGAATTTCTGTGAAACAAATGGATTTTCTTTAAAAAAAAAAAAAAAAGCCCGAAACAAGAACTGTCGATTCAAGGGTCAGGGTCTTAGTATGCAGCAGCCTTCAGGCAATCTAGTCTCTTCTTAGGGATGTTTCTGATTTCACAGAAGAAAGGATGAGTAAAGTTCAGATCATCACTGAGCATGTGCAGTGAAAACGATGTCTCAAGAATTTGGAAGCTAAACCAAGAGGCAGCTATTTTAATATTCTTGATTAAGTGTAGTTTAAACTATAGAAATAGAATGCATTGGGATGGGGAAAATAGAGATGCATATTGGTGAAGGTTAAAAAAAAAGTTATATCTCTGAGTTCTTTATAAATGAGTAAATGTTTTACACTGTAGGATGGTGTTTTCAAATCTAATTATTAACAAAGAGTTGAAGAAAAGTCTCAATTTAAAAATAAATAAATAAAGAAGCAATTAAAAACAGTCAAGTAAATCTGAAGATTTTTCACTTGGCTACGTGATTACATGACAGTATGTGGCCGACAACCTAACCCAAGGAAACAAGTAGACTGTGAAGTAATTAAGCAACTAAAAAAGGGTGTTTTAAACCTAGAGAATAGCAATGGAGAGGTTTTTGCTACTCCATTGAAGATTGTTAAATGGAGGAAGAAAGGTTTCTGGCCTTTTTCTTGTTTGCAAAGCAGAATTGCTTTTTTTGCTCATTGTGTGAGTCAGGCAGAAGGGAAAGAAGGCGTGTCATTTCGGACCTGCAGAAGGATCTGGCGTATGTGATGAGCAGTGGTTCCAGGCTCTAAATTTAACACTAGGCATAAACTTAATGCCATAGGTTCAATTACGAAGCTGTTATATACCTCAGAGCCAAATACGCTAACTGTGCACAGCACGGCAGTGATGGGCTGTTAAATTTTCTGCCTTAGTATGTAATAAGTTTGGTTCACCGAATCCATTTATGCAGAGAGCTCTCTTTTTAAATGCCAATGCCTTGACACCAAGACTGTCGTTGCAGTGGTCAGGCAGAAGAGCCAGATCTGCTGTTGGGGCTGAGAATCGTTATTCCTGGAGGGAATTAGTAGTCATCTGATGTCCGAGATTTTATGTCTGCTGGGTGAGGGGGTGGTTTTCTTTGGGATTTGTTTTTTTGGTTATTTGAGTTTTTTAGAGTTGCACACAGACTTTACACGCTGGATGTATTCAGGTACATGTCAGTCATTCTTAGAAAACAAGACACAATTGGAGATTGCGTACAGCAGGTTTACTCAATGTCATAATACAGCAAAACCGAGAACAATAAAGAAGGGACTAGCTAAAAGGCATTTAATGCAGAATATTTGCTGTTGTGCTGATAAGACAATAACAGAAGAGAGTGCTTTTTCGTTACATGATTGCCCCAAAATAAGCTGTGAAGCAAGAATGCATGAGGGCTCACAATATTCTTGGTACCGTAGGCTTGTGAATGCCTACAGTACAAACACGGGAGACATCTTTAATAACACATCAATATGTGTACTTCAGTACTGATAGTAAACTGGAACATGAAGAATTAATACACAGGAATTATTGGAATAGGTAGATAACACCAGTATTCAGCAGTTGATAGTCTATTCCAGTCTCTATATTTTAATTAGATTACTGACGTGGGTTTATGTTAGGTATAAACCCAGTTGTGTATTGAAGCAGGTTTTCTAGAAAGGCTAGGAGATGTTTCTTATGTAAAGATTTAAAAGGATGGATCCAGCAGACATCTGTCTGAAGGAGTTTAGCAGATCTTGCCTTGGGACGTGGAGCTGGATTAGCTGACCTTTCGGCTTTCCTTCCAGATACATCTTCTATGTTTACAACTAGAAAAAGTTCACTGAAGTGTAAATCATGTCACTGAAGGTTTGCAACTGTGCAAAGCATAATAGTTTAAGAATCTTTATTCAGAATGTGCATATTAAGATAGTATATGCAAAAAATAAGTTAGGAGAGCGGATCTGAGGTTACACTTTTTCTGAAGACCTGACAATATATATCTTAATGGTGTTTAGTTTTTTCTTTGACTTCACTGTTGCGTTTTGTATCTTTAAAAAGTCTCATCTGAGTGACTGTAAATTGCTCATATGTTCTCTTTTTCCTCTTATTTTTAATAACAGTCATAATAACTGATTGCAGCACTGTCTCATCAGCCAGCCAGTGTCCGCACTCCTTGCCACACTTGGCGCTCACTAGTCAGGATCATGGCATGTAGTTCTAAGAGGCTTTGTACTGGGAGTTGCCTTTGGGGGTTTGGGTGTTCTTTGTAGGGGGTCTAGGGGTTGTGGTGGAGGGGTGTAGGGTGGAGCTGGATCTTCTTCATTACCAGCTTCTACTAAAGACAATTTAGCTTTGGAAACACAAACCACTGCAGGTGATTTCAGATATGTTCAACATACGATTTTAAAGGACACTGCAGTGTTGGTGTCTTTGCTGTTCTTTGTCAGGTAACGACTTCTTAAACATTTTCAATTTCAAATGCAGAGATGGGATAATGTACCCAGCTCGCTGCTTTGCAGCTGGGCTTTCGGGGGAGCACAAGAGATGCACCATAATAGTTCTGGTTTGAGGATGTATGAATTGAGACGTGTTCTTTAAAAGAGAATATTACAAACAAAAAAAAATATTAAAATTGTAGAAGATACTTTGGGAAAAAAGTTCGCTGAAATGTCATGCTGATTTCTTGGGTTTCATTACAAAAAAACCTTTGTAGTTCTATGCTTATGCAATATATACGCTCCCGGTATCCTCAATAAATGTCTGAGAAATATTTCACTTGTGGAAAATAGAACAATTCTGGGACTTTTCGGTACCTTCTCTTTTATTTTCATTTGGTGGTTGTACCATCTTATTCAATTAAAAACACCATTTCATTTGACTGAAAACCTTTGTGTTTTAAGACAAAATGGTATATGCATACCTCGAGGGTACCACCAGGTTGTTAAATCAGGGTGAATAATCAGGGGATAAGATGGCTTTCCATAAACAATCTAAACACCTTTATCCCAAAGAACAAGTGTCTTTGTGCACCTGCTTCTAATTCATACTGCAGAACATCCAGCTAGTTGTTCTGCCATTTATTTAATTTGCAGGGATTTTTAAAGAAGCGAATATTGGACAGTAGTTCAGTTTTGAAGCCAAATATTATTAGAGTGTATTCAGTATCGGCAATAATTTGTCAGAAATTCAGAAGTCTTTGGAAGACTTGAAGCTTCTCCTGCGTTGTCAGAAAGAATTGAGCAAAGGTGTCTGAAGAGAGCGCAGGGACCGGAAGGCAGACGTGAGTGCAGAAGAGGCGTTGCTCTCAGGAGCGTGTGAAGGAGGGTGCGGCAGTGTTTACTTTTGGTAATTATCCTGGAAAACCACCCAGATCTCCTCTTCCTTGGGAGGTGGCTAGAAGTTTCTTCCTAAATTAACTTCCACATTTTGCAGCGTGGGAGCTGTCACATTCTCTAGCGGGAGGGCACCTTGTGTTTTCCAGATGAGAAGTTCCTTCAGCCCTTCTGTCGAGGGGCACTGGCAGACCCAGAGCCCTCCCAGCCCATGGGGCTAATGAACCTGTGCTCAGCCAGCGAGGTCACCGCGGTTGGAAGTGCTACCGGGGGCTGAGGCAGCCTGGGCTGTTCCTGCACCTCGGCAGGGGTTTGCAACGAGCAGCTGATGACTGGTTACAGAGAAGGGTCGCTTCTCGGCTTGAGCTCCGACTCTAGCTGACAGCTCAGGAGTTCACATCGCAAGCAGCCAAGCTCGTGTCAGTAACAGCAAATCGGGGCACAGGAGCTCTAGTCCTCTCCTGTCACTGTGCTGCCTCACTTCAGTCCTATCCAGCTTGATAACTTGAGGTTCAAATGTCAGAAATCTTGCCAGATTACTGTGGGCTTAACAGAAAAGCAAACAGAACTCATAAGCATCTTTTTTTTCTTCATTTTAAGAATCTATGTCTCTCAGCTTTTGCCATTTTTAACTTGTGAGAGACAACTTTGCCTCACTGGGTTTTAAGGTTAGTTTTGCTGCTTAAAAGCTTGGAAGGCCTGAACTTGAATATGTGGTTGAAATGCAAAGGAACGTGTTTTTCCAGCCATCATAAGGTACTCTGAGGACAAAATGTATTTTATAAATAAGGATATTGAGTCTTTAGGGCATCTCTCTTGCAAAGTTGGCAATGAACTTGGAGCTATTAAGTGAATAAATAGACCATTAACAGTAGTAATAAGGCTTCATTTTTCTTCTCATAATTTAGAACAATTCCATTTTACTGATGTGATTCACATGTGCAAAGTACATTCTCTGCTCATCAGTAAATACAGCTTTCTCAAGGGACTGAAAAATTTAAATTGGTCAAATGAATCTTTTAAAATCTTTGATAAGGGGGGAAACAGGCCTTTTCAGGTCATAAATAACATTTATCCTGAGGGAAAAGGCTCTAAATTAGTATGTACAATTAGTATACTGTCAAAGATTAGACATGAGCGTAATTTAAATGTTCATATTAGGGCTGCTGCCTTACTAGTGCTCACATTCCAGTGTAGTTTTTAATAAGGCTGTGATTGGTTTGGGTGACTTCAGACCATCTTTGAATGGTTTAATAAGTAACAGATGAACGCCTATCTCTGGTGAAATGCTGCTCGAGCCCGTGTGTCGGCACGAGGGATAGCGCTGCGCTCTGGGCTCTAAATCCTCCAGGAGAGCAGCAGCCCTCCGCGGGGCTTTGCAATCCGCACGGCTGCTAAGGAGAGCTTTAGCTGGACCTCGAAGGGAGGAATAAATTAAACGCAGGATCATCTTCACATTACAGAGGACGCTCGAGAATTTTATTCATACTAGGAAACGTATTTTTGTGTGTGTTTCTTGTCTGTCGGTGTCTATTTTTCCCAGTTATTTGTGCACAGGAGAGTTTTCCAGGACCGAGGTCACTTAGGTTTTTGATGAAACATTATATTTCTCCTCTGTGTAGCATAGGTGCCCAACCTCGGGTTGTAATTCATTATACAAAATTAAGAGCTCTGTAATAACACTGTATGTTTTGTTTCCATCCTTTACCACTGAAGACATTTCTCATTGCCTTTTTCCTGTCTCACTGATACATACCACTCATATTTTTATGCAGCTAGATTTTTTAAAGCATCTAAAGCCACTGCTGAATGCTTAGAAACTTCTGAAACTAGTATTTACTTCCTTGAATTTGTGTTTTCTGGTGGTTTCTTTTTTTTTCCTTTCCATCTGTAGCGAGTGAGAGAAGTTCTTTATTTTGACTGTCTGGAGAACAAGTAATTTGCTTTCAGAAACTGGAAATGCAAAGGGGTTTTCTTCTAGTTCACATACTCTTCTCAGTCCTATTAGTTACTTGGGGATGTGTTTTGTCCTTGTTTTGTGTAGAGAGCTCCAACAAAATATGTTGGAATTTCACACAAGTTGTTGCAGAGGCCTTTTGAAGTCGTTCTCGGAAACAGTGTAATTACATTGGAAGCCTTTAGCTCCAAGTTGTTAAGATTTGCTGGCACGCAATGTGTTTCACCAGCCCAGCTCTGGTTCATGGTTTAATGTTGTTAGCTAATGAATCTCATATGAATCTTTTTTTAGCAATGTTTATTCAGCTGCTGTGTTACTGAGAGCAAATGTGTAATAGTGGTTATTAAAATTCATCTTTCTTGCTTTTCTGCTAATTGCATAATACTAATGATGTACATCTTTGCATAATATAAACGTCTCATATTGCTTGCATCATTTGGTTTCATAAATTATTCAGCATTATGCATAGTTGAATATTATTTCTGCTTTCCGCAAAATTATTATAATTTCCTTATATTCAATTTGCAGCTGTGGAACAACTATTTTCATTTGGCTGTGGCTTTTATTACCCAAGATTCACTACAGCTAGAAAACTTTTCCCATGCAAAATACAACAAAATCCAGAACAAGTAAGCAAAAACCTATACTTTGGCTTATGTCTTTAAGTTCATAGTAAAATGATGATAATGATAAAAATACCTTTCCTATATCTGTCGTTTTTTCCCTCCCAGATATGGAGATATGAGACGTTTAATTGGCTTCGCAATCCGTGACATGTGGTACAAACTTGGTGAGTAGGCAAATGAACTTAACTGCAAGTGAATCCAGAGCATATTGCTTGTTTCATTGAAAAATATCTGACATGAGGTGCTTTTGTAAATATTTCTGCTATTTGAACTCAAAATATGTTTTTGCTTCTGTTATTAAGCTTGGAACTGACATGAGGTACTGTGTGACTACCGCCTATTCTGTATTTCTAAGAAAACTCACAATCTCTCAGAGTTCGAAGACGTCTGAAATCCGATTTTTCAGAAACCTTATTTTGTGAAGCACACACTGTCTGAGATTTGCTGTTTGCATCCTACTCGTGCTGAATCTGAGAATCCATGTTAACAGCAGCAACCACAACGGCTTCATAAAAATTTAAGGGTGCTTAACAGTTTTGTCTAACATAATGTTGAAGGCCAAAGGTTTATTTTCTAATGTATTATTATTTTATTTAAATAATGTTGTCTTACATATCCAGTGGAAAAAGGGAGGCATATGGGTTGAGAAATGTTTCAAACTAATATGCATTAATTCTCACTCACCAAATGCCCCTTCCATATGTTTTCTATAAGCTTCAGGTTCCTTCTGTAGCTTTAACAAAAAGGAACCTGAATTCTGAAAAGCAGCAGAGCATCTTAAGTATAAACCAGATTTGAGGGATACATACACAGTGAGATTGAAATGGGCAAATGCCTGTCAAAGAATCTCATACCATGACCTCTGGAGTGCCTTGCAAATGCTCAATTGCGCTGCTGTGTTCTCTGGGGCATCTTATCTTCCTTTGTCCACTTGAGTCATTCAGTCATTGTGAGGTTTGAGGAGATGTTCTTCTTGATTCCTGAAGTGGAAAAAACAGTTGCTGAAGGCAGGAGAGTCTTCAAAAAAGGCTTTTAAAAACTTTATTTAAAGTCGCATGTTAGGCTCTGTTGGTTTTAAGTGTGAGATCAGTCTCTTGGTCAAGCAATAGATATTGCTGTCATTTAGCTTTTTTTTCTACTCATGTAAGAGGATTGCTTGGGAAAGTGGAGGTTTTGAGAGCTATGTGGGTAGATATGAAATACAGAATTTTGTATGTGGTTTTCAAAAAATGACAGACCTGTAAGGCTTAATACCTGTAGGTATTGGAAGTTATTCAGTCATCTTAAGACACTCTTCAATTGTACTGACGTTGCTGATTTAACTAGAATTAATAATGATATTAACATGGTAGAAGAAAAAATAATATTGCATAAGGCTGTTGGAGTCATAGTTCAGTTATGCTTAGAGTTATGTTAGTATAGTGCCTATAGGAGAGGAAAATCAGAATCGGATTGCTTTTAGTTATGGAACAAATCAAATTTGGTTTTGAGACTATTGTATCTCCCTACGAGCTTTGGGCAGTATTGCTGTTCTTAGGCAGGTCACTGGATTTTGCTGGTGGTCTGCTCCACATATCACATATTTTTTTCTTCCTCAAGAAACAAGCAGCATTTGAAGAACATTTTTGGACCTGGTTGACTTTTTTGCAGATTTGGGTGTTTGTTGTCATCTGACATAATGGCTGTGCTACAAGATAATTTTGTGTGGCTCTGGTGGTTGTGTAGATAGTGTTTCTATTATGGCTTTCAGTGTTTGTTGCAGTGGTTGGATTAATTTCTTGGTTACAACGTGTGATGTTATGCAGAAATAAAGCACGTAACTTTTTTTGCCTTCGTAACGTAGATAGGTGTCACAATGTGACATTACTGTGTGGCACTCACCTACTGGTAGCATGTAGGGGATTCTTAAGTTTATTACTCTAGGTATTTATAAAGAGATGTCAGTAGCTGAAAAACTACCAGCTGAAAAAACTACCAGTTGAAAACACCAGCTCAGCTGGCATGCGTGCCTGTTTCTGGCACCGAATTCTGGCATCTCAGAATGAGGCTACATCCATTAGCCTACTCTCAGCTTTTGAGAAGGACCAGGGATGAGCGACTAAGTTGTAAGACTTTACCAACATAGATAGTTTAAACACTACTCCAAATAATTGCATGTTTTCCTTAAAAAAAAAAAAAGTGTATTTTTTTCCTCTTCTGTCAAATACCTGATTTGAATTTCTCTTTCAGGCCAGAATAAAATTTGCTTTATTCCGGGGATGGTTGGACCCATCTTGGAAATGACTCTTATTCCAGAAGTTGAGCTTCGAAAAGCCACAATCCCAATTTTCTTTGACATGATGCTGTGCGAATATCAAAGGACAGGAGAATTCAAAAAGGTAATTAAAAATAGTCTATGTGAAAATTCATTAAAATGTCATGTGGTCACTTTATATCTGGAAAATATTTGTTATGTGGTCTTTTCTGTGAAAAGAAAGAAAAATCCAAAATACTAAAAAGAAAAGGAAGAGCTGTTGTGCAAGCGAGTGTAGGTTCTGCGGGGTCATTTAGTAGGACTTCATAAAATTTGTCACAGTGACAGCACTAAGGTGCTGCAGTAGAGCCGTTAATCAAAATTTTCGGAATTTTAATGAAAAAAAAGTTCTGAGCAAGAAGACAAGATTGAAGTCACTCCTTGGTTAAGTAGAAGGTAGAATTAAGTGATCTCCAGGGGTACTTTTTAATGTAAATTTTTTATGGCAACCCCTTGTGACGTATTGATAAGCCAAAACTTCCAAATTTTAATAGTGTCTGTCAGAAATAACAGTAAATAATTATATATTATCAGATTTCTCAAGAAACTTGTATCCTCTCTAAATATTTATTATGAAAGAAACAACCACTGTGAACAACTGACATTCTTAAAACATTTCCTACAGTAGTTTTGAAAAGGAAAAGGATTTTTGGATCAAAAGTATCAAATATTTTTGATTGATGGGTTGGAAATTGAGATGATGGGGTAGGACACGTGGACATGTCATCTAAATCTCCTGCCACTGCCTCCTCTGTCCACCAGGGCAGCGCGTTTCTGTCTGTGTCTTTCCTACCCGACTTTTCCATTCTCTGCGAGGACTCACCTCCCTCTGTGTTTGCCCACCACCTTCCACAGTAAATTTTAAATAGGAGATTCAGGCTTTATAGTGACACAAACAGTTAATTCGGAGCAATCTGTGTAACGGTAAGTGGCAAAGAAAAAGTCAGCATTTTAGACATGCATTGGAAAGTAAATATAAATATCTCTCTCCTATTCCCAACTCTGTTTAATACTTTAAATCATGTGGGGCATTTCTGTGTCTGCTAAGTGTGGAACAAATGAGCAGATGGAATTTCCATTTTGGTCTGTGTTCCACAGTGCAAAGCTTTTGGTTCAAGGCCAAGATTAAAACCCACTTTGCTTCTGTGCATCTGTTCCCTCCATGTCCTAATAGTCCTGTATTTGCCTTCTTAAAAAATGTTTTTCTACTCTTGGCTTATACTTCATCTCTTGGGAGAGACGCACAGATCTGTACAGACCAAAAATCCTGAAAACTCATCAGTCATACCGACCGATTAACAAGAACAAGAGCTTAGGGGCCTGGGAGATACAGACACTGAGGTGACCCTTTGTCGTGGTTTGACCCTGGCCGGCA